GCCAGATGACTTATTCCCCTTCCAAATGAACCTGGCAATAAAGAATATAAAAAATGAGTCCCCTGGGGAACTTCTTTTCCATTTCAAGTGCTTCCTTTGGCTATTTTCACCCTTCAGTTTCCACCCCCATTTTTGGTCTTTAGATATGGATTTGAATATATTTCAGCAAAGCTGCATAAATGACCCACTTGGTTGAGCCTTGGGGGTCAGATTCTGAATACGGCTTGGAAGCGATTACAGTGACATCCCCTCAAGACTTTGTTCTGGTGTTGTTAATGAGTGCCTTGGGTTGCTCGAGATCAAAGATCCCCCCCTGCGTCTCTGGCTCGATTCCCCTTGCCTTCATAGACTAGTGTCACTGCTCTGTCCACAGAGGTTCCTTTTAAAATTGAGATAAAATTTACACAGCATAAAATTCATCATTTTAACCTTCTTAAAGTATACCTTTCAGTGGTTTTTAGCATGTTCACAATGTTGTGAACCATCAGCACTATGTAATTCCAGAACCTTTCCATCACCCCAAAAAGAAACCCTGCACCCATTATCCATCACTTCCTGATTCTTCTGTCCCCTAGAGGCCCTGACAACCACGAATCTACTCTCTGCCTCTGTGGATTTGCCTATTCCAGATTTGTCATATAAATGGAATCATATCATACATGAACACTAGGTCAAGATTCTTTCACTTAGCATGTTTCCAAGGTTTATGTTGTAGCATGTATCAGTATTCCATTCCTTTATATGGCTGAATATTATTTCATTGTACAGATCCATCTCATTTCATTCATCCATTCATCAGTTGATGGGCATTTGGGCTATTTCCCAATTATGAATAATACTGCTATGAACATACATGTACAAGTTTTTGTGTGGGTATATATTTTCAGTTCTCTTGGATATATACCCAGAAGTGGAACTGATGGATCATACAGTAACTCTATGTTTACCTTTTGGAGGAATTATCAAATATTTTCCAGGTCTTTTTTTCAAGGAGAATAGGATGATAAGATTGATTTCAGACACACTGTTAGGAAGGGGCAGCTGAACTGTCAGAGAAAAATGCCCACCATGAAGTTGAAGATAAAAGGGTCATGTCCAGGTGAGATAAGGTGACCATTTCAGTTGGGCCATTATCCACATGCAGTGGTTGGTAAAGCTGCGGGCTCCCCCCTGCAGGTCTCTGAGTTCTCTGAGGGTGATAACAGGTGAAAACAAGAGAATACAAGAGGACTTTCACCAGCTTAGCACTGGATTGTTCTTTATGTATACTGTCAATTTAATCATCTCAACACAATTAAGTGGATAATGTCATTAGCCCCATCTTATAGGTGGGGCAACTGAGGCTCACTGAGGTTAAGCATATGGACTGGTTTGCATGGCTTTGTATATAGCAGAGCCAGGATTTAAGTACTGGTAAAGACCATAGATACAACCTGAAAAAAATTTAAGGGATTAGAGGTAGATTTTAAAAAAGAGAGTACCATTAAGTACAACAGGATGGGATAAGTGATATATAGTGTACCAGGATAAAAGAGAGATTTTTGTTTGTTTTTTGTTTTATTTTATTTTATTTTATTTATTTATTTTAAAAAGATTTTATTTATTTATTTGTGAGCAGGGGCAAGGGGCAAGAGGAGAGGGAGAAGCAGACTCCCCACTGAGCAGGGAGCCCGATGTGGGACTCGATCCCAGGACCCTGGGATCACGACCTGAGCTGAAGGCAGACGCCCAACCGGCTGAGCCACCCAGGCGTCCCTATTTGTTCTTTGTTTTAGAAGGAGGTTGTCAATTGTGCCAACTGTCACAAAGGTGTCAAGTAAACACAAACATATGCGTATAATAGTATCTAATTATCTCATATCTGACCCTTGATATGCCTCAGAATGTTTGCTACTCAGACTTTAATACGTCCTGGGCTATATGTTACTGCTCTCTGTGCATTTCCGTCTGCAGAACACGAGGACACTGCTGAGTCTCTATTCCAGACAATAAGTGCATTTCAGAAGGAGTAAGGAAACCCATTATTTACAGAGAAACCAGTTTCACAAAAACAAGAATTTCAAAGCAAAATGAGATTTTCTCACATTAAGTCATGAAGTAAAAGTTTGAGTACGTAAGACTAAATAACTCTTAGTACTAGAAGGAAAAAGAATTATATTGCAGCATTGCAATAAAACCGTATTTTATGGGTAATGAGGCAGTACTCTCACCTTTCCTCAGTATTTTATTTTATTTTATTTTATTTTTTAAAGATTTTATTTATTTATTTGAGAGAGAGAGAATGAGAGAGAGCACATGAGAGGGGGAGGGTCAGAGGGAGAAGCAGACTCCCCGCCGAGCAGGGAGCCCAATGCAGGACTCGATCCCGGGACTCCAGGATCGTGACCTGAGCCGAAGGCAGTCGCTTAACCAACTGAGCCACCCAGGCACCCTCCTCAGTATTTTATATCTTTAGCTTTTTTTCCCTCTTCAGCCAGTGATGGGTGGACGTGAGATTAAAGTGCCATTATTTCAGGGCACTGAAGCACAACCACATAATGGTGACACCCAGAAATCCCGGGCACTTGCAGCCAGTCAAGTCTTTTTCATGAGCAATCTTGATATTGTTGGGGCTAGAGTCTTTCCCTACTTCAGATTGTTGGTTTGCTTGGCACTTGAGGATGTTTTCAAGGATAAAACAAGGTTGGAGCTGGCTCCTTGTAAAGCAGTCATGAAGCTCTTGTATGGAAACTTTCCATGAAAAGATGAGAAAAAAAATGGTTTTTGGAGAAAAATAAGTAAAAACTAAATAAGTTGATGCCATAATACATCTATATTACCAACCAACAGAAGACTTTGTTCTTTTTAGCTGTTTGATTGTTTTGTTTTCTGCTCAGATAAAAAGAGAGTTTGGTTTTTATAGAAAGGCTTTTGCTATGTGTGCACTTTCAAGCGCAGAGAGTAAGGAAGCCTCTTTGGTCCTTCTCATGTTTGCTGAGATGCCCTCCAAAGGCTGGTTTGGTTGCTGCTGCTCCAGCATTCGCAGGTACCGATGTCTGAGAAGGTGGAGCCTTTTCCAAGTCAGTCTGTGGAAATACAGGCCACAAGGTATAGGAGAGCATTACAGGGCAACGGTCCTTGCTGCTTGGCTCCATGGCAATCAGGTGTCCTTACTTAACCCCTGAGAGGAACATACATCCTTTCAGAAGATCTTGATATCTAGTAATTGAGTACTATGCAGACAGACTCTAAGGTGGCCCTCCACAATTTAAGTCTCCTTGCCTAAGGGTGCTCACCCTTATATAATCTTGTATAATCTTCTCCTCTTGAGTGGAAATGAGACCTAAGATTTGCTTCTAACCAATAGGATATGTTCAAGGCAATGAGACATCACTGCCATGATTACATTATGCTACATAAGCCTTTGTCTTGCCAGCAGACTTGCTCTAGGGACCCTTCTTATTGGGTTGATAAAATAAATGGCCACGTTGGAAAGCATAGGTGGCAAGGATCTTCAGGCAGCCTCTGGGAGTTGAGGCATCCTTCAGTCAATGGGCAGCCAGAAGCCAGGGCCCTCTGCCTTAACAACCACAAGTAAATAAAGTCTGCCAACATTGGCTGGAAGTGGATTCTTCCTCAGTTGAGCCTCTAGATGAGACTGCAGCCTCACCTAACACCTTCAGCTCAGCCTTGTGAGATCCTGAGCAAGGGTCCTAGTTAAGTTATGCCTAGATTCCTGACCCACAGAAACTGAGGTAAGAAATATGTGGGGTTTTTGGTTTTTTGTTTTAATTTTTAAAAGATTTTTATTTATTTATTTGAGAGAGAGAGAAAGAGAAAGCACAAGCAGAGGGAGAAGCAGACTCCCCGCCGAGCAGGAGACTGATGCAGGGCTCGATCCCAGGACCCCAGGATCATGACCCGAGCCAAAGGCAACCACTCAACTGACTGAGCCACCCGGGTGCCCCAGAAATGTGTGTTGTTTTAATCCACTGAGTTTGTGGCAATTTGTTATGCAACAACAGAAAACTAACATATTCACATATGATATCTTCCAATCCATTAGCTTAATTATACGTTTAATAAACAATTGTATTCTTAAATAACAACACTTAAAGAGACCAATTGTTGACTGCTTTGAGTGAGCATCGTAGAGTTTCGGAATGTATAAGCAGACTCTCAAAGTGGTTTCTTTTCCCCTATAATTTGCTAATGGTTATGAAAGGGCTAAAGTAATGGGATAGTGTCCTATTTTGAATATGACAGGGTTATTTGTATCAAACTGAACCAAAAGGGAGTGCTGTAGGAAGAAGGAACAAGTTCATTAGAGCCTTCCCAGTTGTGGCCATGTCCTAACATTAATTGCACCTGCGTTGATTACTGCTTGTTGATTATTCAAATTCATTCTGTTTGGTTATCTACGGATGGACTCCGCCTCTTACCCAAAAGGAATTTAGAAAAGGTAAGAAGTCCTAGAATCAAGTTTAGGTAAGCAACACATCCTACAAAAAGCAGAGTACATGACTTTGGGCAGCAGAGACAATCAAGTTAATATGAATATTCTCAGAGGGATCTGTGTTCACTCTTCATCTCTTCTCCAACATCCTTTTCTCCAGCGTTGTCTATCTTCCTTATTACTGGTACTTTTTAGTCTGTGATCTATTTGATCTTAAAGTTTCATTAGAACTTTAACACTGACATTTGATATTTTGAACATTTTGATATCTCTTCAAACTTTTAAGTATTTGATTAAGTAATTCTTCAGAATTATCAAGTATATGCAATTCTTTGAGTAATTATTGAGTGACTGCACAATCAAGTTAGTATAACATTCTGATAAACACTGCATTAAGTTCAAAATGGAAGACACATTTTGACTTTAATATTATACATAGAAAGTTCAGAACTCAGTTTTTAAAGATTAAGTAAAGAAATGCTCAGGAACCCATTCAGTTCACATCTGTTACCTGCTCGTGCCTACAGTTATGAATGACCTAGTGTGGTTTTCATTGTATTTGCAGGCCTGTGCATGCATTGTCCAGAATCACTACGTGAAACCACTTCAGCTAAACTTTGGGAGAAATCATGCCCTGCATTTCAGAATCAGAAGTGACCAGCCAAGGAAGAGAATCAACTATGCTTTCAAGATCACCACAAATAAGTAGTCTTTTAAAAAAAATATTCGCTGGGTGCCTGGGTGGCTCAGTTGGTTGGGCGACTGCCTTCAGCTCAGGTCATGATCCCACGGTCCTGGGATCGAGTCCCGCATCGGGCTCCCGGCTCTGCGGGGAGCCTGCTTCTCCCTCTCCCACTCCCCCTGCTTGTGTTCCCTCTCTCGCTGTGTCTCTCTCTGTCAAATAAATAAATAAAATCTTTAAAAAAAAAAAATTCGCTGCCTGCCACCATAGATGAGCTGATATGACTTGGGCCACCTGGACCACATCCCTTACCACAAAAACTTCTTGGCATTCAAGAAGATTCAAGAAGGGCTATCTGTTCTCTGCTCCATAAGAAAGGAGTAACAAAGCCTCAGCTGTGACATTCAGGAGAGAAAGTCATAGTATTATCAGTGGGAAAACCAACCTGTAGTCAGCCTAGCATGTGTCAGCTACTGGAACTACTGTGGGACCTCCCTATAGCCCATTCATCTAATCTGGAATCTTCTTTGTAGTTGATGACAGTGACACTATTCAGCTCTAAGTCCACAAATAAATACGTGTTAGCCAGAATCTCCTGTATTAACCAGATTGTCTCTGCTGCCCAAATTCATGTACTTTTTCTTCTGCAGGATGATGGGACATCAACAACTTTTTGGATTGCTCCCCCAAACTTGATTCCAAGCTTTTTTGCTTCCTAAGTCCTTTTTGGCTGAGAACTAGAGTTGATCAATTGTTTTGTTACATTTTATTTCCACAACCAGTCAATTCCTTACCTCTTCTCTACTTCTTTCCCTCCCTCCCTCCCTCTCTCTCTCTTTTCTTTCTTTCTTTCTTTCTTTCTTTCTTTCTTTCTTTCTTTCTTTCTTTCTTTCTTTCTTTCTTTCTTTCTTTCTTTCTTTCTTTCTTTCTTCCTTCCTTCCTTCCTTCCTTCCTTCCTTCCTTCCTTCCTTCCTTCCTTCCTTCCTTCCTTTCACTCTCTTCTCTTCTCTTCTCTTCTCTTCTCTTCTCTTCTCTTCTCTTCTCTTCTCTTCTCTTTCTTTCTTTCATGTAGACTCCACACCCAGCATGGAGCCCAATGCAGGGCTTGAACTCACAACCTTGAAATCAAGACCTGAGCTGAGATCAAGATTTGGACACTTAACTGACTGAGGCACCCAGGCGCCCCTCCACTTCTATTTTTTCTTTTTAATTTTTATTTATTTATTTATTTGTTAAGATTTTATTTATTTGACAGAGAGAGACAGCGAGAGAGGGAACACAAGCAGGGCGAAGTGGGAGAGGGAGAAGCAGGCTTCCCGTGGAGCAGGGAGCCCGATGCGGGACTCGATCCTAGGACCCTGGGATCATGACCTGAGCCGAAGGCAGACGCTTAATGACTAAGCCACCCACGCACCCCTCCACTTCTATTTTTAACCCTCCTTCAGCCTCAAGAATTTTCTCTCCTCTGACCCATGGTCACCTTTGCCCTTCCATATTAGAATGTTTGCCAAGCTGGCTTGCTTCACCAGAGAGAACTTTGACCTCAGGGCACATAGTGACTGATACTTCATCTTCTTACCTGTTCGGTCAGGTGATAGCCAAATCCTTCCCTTACCCAACAAAGAGGGGAACGAGATTAGAGTTCGGCACTTGAGCTATTATTTCATAAAGAGTTCAGTGTTTCAGGGGCGCCTGGGTGGCTCAGTTGGTTAAGCGACTGCCTTCGGCTCAGGTCATGATCCTGGAGTCCCGGGATCGAGCCCCGCATCGGGCTCCCTGATCAGCAGGGAGTCTGCTTCTCCCTCTCCCGCTCCCCCCTCTTGTGCTCTTTCTCTCTCTCACTCTCTCTCTCAAATAAATAAATAAAATCTTTAAAAAAAAAAAAAAGAGTTCAGTGCTTCAGCACAATTGCCTGATCTTTATCATCGCAATTCAATTTTCAGGATGCAGTGGAGAGAAAAAATATGTTCAAGTTATCTTCCTCTTTGCACGAGAACATCCAACAAGAGCCTCCTCCTCCCAATTCCCAGAGGAGACCAGCAGCCATTACCCACCACCGAATGCCATCAGAAATATCAAGATGAGTCCCTTCAGTTTCAAGACTTGACAGCTTTGTGTTTTTTCAGTCACAGGGAGTTGACCTGACTTTTCTCTTCCTGATAGCTTTCTGCAGGGCCCTGCAGAATAGCTTTTGCTTTGATTACCCAGTGATTTACAGCCCTTCTCATTTGCTTCTCATATCTCGTTTTTCCAGAGCTTAGGGAGCTCTCCTCTTACCCTGTTGCCTCAAAGCAATTTTCCTTATCATCTTCCAGAAGTCCAAGGCCCATCCTTTATGTACTTCTGATTCTCCTGAATAATGATTGTTTTTTGTCTCTTTCCTCCTTCCTAGCTTTCTTTCTTCGTAGCATCAGTGTTTTCACCGTGGGGCAGACTTCATACAAACATAGAACTCCAATACTGATTCTTTCACAGAGGAAAAAAACAATGCTTTCTTCATCTCATATTTGCCTGGCTAGGTATTTGCAATTGTTCTTGTGAATTACAGAACTTTGTGGGGAGAATCATCTTAACATTCTTGATATGTTTGAAAAATAGTATGCCAACATTTAGATTCAGAGATCTGTCAGGGCTTCTCCCAGAAGCAAAGCTGAGAGAAAGATTGAGTGCGCATAGTTTATTTTGCGATGGTGGGTGATGTGGGCAGAAGTGTGTGTGTGTGTGTGTGTGTGTGTGTTTGTCCAGTAAGGAAGAAAAGGCAGGATATAAAGGGTACACTATAAAGGCAGCTACCATAATGTGCAATTGAAGTTCAATCCTATGGAAAAGTTTTGGAAAATGGTATAAAACGCATACTTCATTATGATCCTACTCAAGGGGCAAGAGAGCTGGGGTATTTATACATTCATGCCCACTGTTATTGATTAAGGGAGCCTCTAATGCGTTACAAATTACACAGGCACTTCGAGCTGGCCTTGAAGGCAGGCAAAACGGGTTCCAGCAGCCCAAGGGCAGCCTTCTGACAATGCTGTAGGTTCTGGCTGTTGCAAAGCACACTGCTACACACAGAAGTGAGGAGATATGAAGGGAGCACTGGTGCATCTGCTGTAGGGAACCAAAGGCCAGAGCTTGGGGGCATTAGTTCATCCCATCACCTAACTGATAGGCAAGCAATCGGGAAAGTGACTGTGGAAGTAAACCATGTTGTGATTCAAAAGTTCTCCACAGGGTGCCTGGTGGCTCAGTTGGTTAAGCGACTGCCTTCGGCTCAGGTCATGATCCTGGAGTTCCGGGATCGAGTCCCGCATCAGACTCCCCGCTCAGCAGGGAGTCTGCCTCTGACTCTCCCCTTCTCATGTGCTCTCTCTCAAATAAATAAATGAAATCTAAAAAACAAAACAAAAGAAAAAAATTAAAAAATTAAAAAAAAAAAAAGGTTCTCCACAAACAAGTGGCTCAGGTAACAGGTGATCAGTATGGTAGACATTTGCCTTTCTTCTGGCTTCCCAGCCATGTCCCACCCCCCAATCTTTCATATTCGGAGGGCTCTACATCATTAAGTGACTTGATGAAATGCTCTCACTCCAGAGGCCAAAAGAGCAGAATAAAGTTTTCTTTCCTTTCCTCCTTGTAGCCAGGGTATAGGTAGGTGATCTGGCCTCACCCATTCAGGGATTTTCTCTTGTTGGCTTGGGCTGCTATTAACAAAGAACCATAGACTAGGTGACTTATAAACAATAGGTTTTTATTTCTCACAGTTCCGGAGGCTGAAAGTCCAAGATCCAGGTGCCAGCATGCTTGGGTTCCAGGGAGAACCCTCTTCTGGGTTGCAGACTACCATCTTCTTGTGTCCTCACAAAGTGGGAAGTGGGTGGGAAAGCTCTTGGGGTGCCATTTATCGGGGCACCCATCCCATTCATGATGGCTCCACCCTCATGAGCTAATCACCCACCAAAGGCCTCATCCCCTAGTACCCTCACATCGGGAGTTAAAATTTTGGTATATGACTAAACATTCAGTTCCTTACAGACTTCTAATCCTCCGGGAGCAAAACAAAGATGCAGAAACTGTGGAGAGTTGTTCTTGAGGGTGCTGTCAGGATGCAGGAACGAAGGAGTCGGTGGTAACAGCCTAACAACAGTGGTGCAAACATAACCTGGGTCCCCACCCCCAACCTAGCTCCCCTGATCTGAGCATGTGCCTCCAAGAAACGTATTTTCTGTTTCACTTCGCAAGTGTTGGTTTCTACCGTCTGCAACTGAGAAAAACTGGTCTTCAGAGAATGACAGAAGTTTGAAGGCAGGCAATGTCCTGCTTTGTACAGAGAGCTTTTCTACTTTTCTACAATCTAGAGAGGAGGCGGAGAGAAATAAAGGCAATAGATGATAAGGGTTCAGCCTTCAACAAGTTCACAATCTGATCGGACTGATAAGAAGTAAGGTCATGTGAGAAACCTGAAACGTACACACATATCTTGTTTACATGTGTTATCTTTTACTCAATTATCTTTTATATACTTGGGATCATTTATCCTCAATAACTCTGCATGGGTGGGCGCCTGGGTGGCTCAGTTGGTTAAGTGACTGCCTTCGGCTCAGGTCATGATCCTGGAGTCCCGGGATCGAGTCCGGCGTCGGGCTCCCTGCTCGGCAGGGAGTCTGCTTCTCCCTCTGACCCTCCCCCCTCTCATGTGCTCTCTCTCATTCTCTCTCTCTCTCAAATAAATAAATAAAATCTTTAAAAAAAAAAAAGAACTCTGCATGGGTGGTTCAGTCTGTTAAGCAGCTGCCTTTGGCCCGGGTCATGATCCCAGGGTCCTGGGATCGAGTCCCGCATGGGCTCCCTGCTCAGATGGGAGTCTGCTTCTCCCTCTCTCTCCCTCTGCTTGTGCTCTCTCTGTCAAATAAATAAAATATTAAAAAAAAAAAAAAAAAAACTCTGCATGGGAGGTGCGATTCCCTAGGTTTTGCAGAGGAAGAACCTGAGGCATGGAGGAGCTAAGTAATATTCCTATAATGCTGCATGGGCAAAATCAAGACTAAAATGCCATTGTGTCCTCTCAGCCATGTGCCCTTCCCTTTTGAGTTCTGTTTAGGAATACCTTGTTGTGCATGGGCAAAGATCTAGAACAGGGGTTGGCAAACCATGGCTCCCATCCTGCCAGCCAATTCTTTGGTAAATAACATTTCACTGGAGCATAGCCACACCCAT